GCCCATCTCCGCCAGAGCCGCACGCATGACCCGCTCAACCTGCTTATCAGATGACGCCCGGGACATCGTGACGATGCTGCCGTTCCCGTCACTCATAGTCACTGGCGTCCAGATGGGACTCCGTTCGTTGAAGACCACCGGCGTCGTCTGCCACTTTGTCGGGTATGCCCGGCCCATCCAGTCGCCATCGACTGCCGGGACGTTCATGTTCGTGCTAGAGCCGATCATCATGCTCTGCAGGCCGTTTGCGCCGCCAATCTCGACGGAGATCATATGCGTGGCGGGCGTGCCCAAATGCTTGTACATCTCTTCCTGGGCCTCTTGCATTTCGTCGGCAGACTTCTTTTCGATGGCGACGGTCGGGGACCCCGCATAGCCTCCGCACCCGACGAGGGCATCGTCGGGTATGTCGTGGGGATTAACAACTCTGACGACTGCACCTTTGCGCAGCTTCTCGCGGAGGATGAGTTGCTGGGAGTAGGGAGAGCCCCCTCCGCCTGTGCCGAGGATGTAGCATCCGATGCTGATCCAGTCTAGGTCGGTCTCGCTGATGTACCAGACTCGATCTCTGACAAGAGGGTTGTAAGTCAAGACATCGATCTCTTCCTTGGTCTGAAATGTGGTAGTCTTTACGACTCGGTTGGTCGAGACTTCAGCATCCTGACTTTCATCCTCACTGCTTTGCAGTAAAGATGAAAGATCTGTCCGAGAGAAGTCGAAGTCACCGGCAGCACGCACAATGAAGCGCGACTTGTTGGCAATGTACTACATCTGTCAGCCGACATGGTCCCACGTATCCCAAACTCCCGGGAGCACTTACAGCCAGGGGTATCGTATCCACATCCACGATATGAACAGACGAAGGAACCGCACCCGCATCAACGGCCTTTCCCCTAGCCTCTTCCTCCACTCCAACCAAGATCTCTTGGATCGATCTGGACTCTGTCGACTTGACCGTGTCAACGGTGGCACTGACACGTGCAATGGCTGCGCCGATCGCGTTGGCGACGCCCGCCCACTCAGGCTTTAGCACCTCGCTAGCCCCCCTTAGCTCGTAAGGCGCAATCAGGGCGCCGCCGCCGACTAGGAGAACAGGTATGTCTTCGGGCGAGGTTTTCATCGTATCGATCACCTTTTCGAGCTTTTGCTTGACGATGGCGGAGAATTGGGTTACGCCTTGGGCATCGAGGGCGCTCTGGACCAAACTAGCGTCTCCGATGGGGGTGGCAGGCGACGATGAGCTGACGAGGACGGTACAGTCCGTAGCGGTTAGAGTGCATCCTCCAAAGACGATAGCCTCTGTTTTGATCCTATAGCCAACACTGTCTGGTCCAACGGTAAGCTTCTCGACGCCTTTCCGGACTATGGAACCTCCACCTAGGCCGATACTCTTAACATCTGGGCAGGAGAAGTTGAGGCGGACTCCGGCGAATTCACTGTAGGCGGCTTGTTGACGTGGGAAACCGTTGGCCTGCAGTAGACCTACATCGGTAGTCGTACCTCCAATATCGACTACCATAACGGCACGATTGCTAAGTTTGTGATCCTGCACCAGGAAGGCAGCTCCTCGCATGCTGTTGGTCGGGCCGCTGGAGAATGTCCGGATGGGTAGGTTGGCAGCCATCTCGCCTGAAAGGATTGTACCGTCATTCTGAGAGATGAAGACTGGGCAGTTGATGCCTAGCCTGCTCATAGGCTCCTGGAATGATTTGATCGTCCTGCGAGCAAAGTTCAACACCGTCGCGTTGAGAATGGCTGCGTTTTCTCGCTCCTGGAAGCCTAGGTTGGCCACGTCTTTGGAGCAGGTTACGGTACAGCCAGAAATCTCTGATCGGATGATGTCGGCAACTCGTTCTTCTTGTCGTTCGATGGTGTCGATGGGGCTGAAGATGCCGTTTACGACTACATTCTTAATGCCCCTTTCTCGAATTACAGCACATTGCGCTTTGATTTCCTCAGTGTCTATATCCGCAATCAGAGTGCCATCTACTTCTAGACCACCCTTGCACAGAGCATAGTAGCCCAAAATTAGGTCGCGTAAATCTTCCGGCCAATCCAGACAGGGCGGATCGTGCTTAGAGAACTGGCTCGTTAGCCTGATCACAGCAACCGGGGCCAGGCGAGCGGCATCCCTCTCGATGAGAGCGTTGACGAAGTGTGTCGTGCCGATGGTCACGCTGGCGATCTCACTCGGATCGATCTTGGTGGATTCGAACATTGTGACAATAGCGTTATTGATGCCTTCGCTAGGGTTCGTCGTTGTTGGTGACTTGTGCCACGCGATGATACCCTTATCGGGCTCAGAGGCCCGCGAGGGATCGAGGACCACGCCATCCGTGTTTGTTCCGCCGACGTCAACGCCGATACGGAGGTGTCGGGGTTGGAATAACATGATTGAGTATGTCGTTAGCTACGGGCGTGCCTGCCTTGTTCTACGTTCATGAAAGATCGCTCTATGCACTGATGAGGATCGCGGGGTTCACAACTCTATGGAAAGTGGGAGGTGGGGTACGAAGGATGGTCGATCCCTCGGAGACCGAGGCTCCGGGTACAAGGGCGGAGTCCGGCCTCGGGGCGGCTCCGCCAAGACCGGCGGAAGCGGGTAACGGACGGCCTCATCCAACAGACATCCGGAAAGTGATTCCGAAATTGCTGACTACAGGATTATAGAGTATCATCCGAAATTGAAAGTACCATAGTAAGTTGTCATCACGAAGACCCTGGCGCTTTTTGGGGACTCTTCGCTCTAAAACAGAGCGGACTCGGCCTACTTCGCCCGACTGGCGATGACGTGCTCAGGAAACACCGAGGCGGTCCCTTGGCATATTTGAGCACGAGGCCAGGCCTTCAGAGCCTGCCTGAACGCCGCCTACGGTGAGCGAAGAATGGCTGGGTAGCCTTCAAAGACTCTGGCAAGCGAGCGGCCTCTCTGCCCGTCTCTGTCCCATAAGTGCCCCCGTACATGATGCGGTGCACCGACGGGACCAGAGCCATGGGATTTCCACCAAGGAGGGTCCCATGCCTCTGCAGTGTTTGCATGTGCATACCATCGCGGGTCTTCGTTCTCGGCACAATCCGGTAGCGCGTCCTGGTTCTTCTGTTTCATCGCTGCGGCACAGTCTGGAAGCACTTTCCAACAGAACCCAAGAGCCCTAAGTGAGACCAATCTTACAAAGGCTGGATGTGACGGCGATTCCGTCGCGTTCGAACTGCTGTGATGTTGGGACGAATCGAGGCCTCCGCGGATACTCCCATCATTCAATGAGTCCTTTGACTGATCCGATGAAAGGATGATCAGAAACATCTCGAGCCAGCTGCCTGAATGTCACGAAGAATGCTTCGAAAGACTCCAGGATCATTATGTTCTGGTATTTGACGGTGTCGCGGGATGTGGAATGGAAATTGGGCCTTGAAATGCATGCAGTTTACGTCTGCTAGAAACATAAAGCGTGCATCTTTCCCTCTAGGTAGTAATACAGAAAGAGTTCAAAGCTCCCCTGTCATGACTTTCACTCCAAGCTTACTCCAAGCTTCCCGTACTCCAGGCCTCATCGGTGAACATCCCTGATCGAGATGGCTCATGTGAGGGTGAGGCGCGAGAAACATTGTATTTCCGGGATAGAATTACCCGAAGCTCGGCGGACACAAGCGTATGGCGACATTCATAGATTCGCCTGTGATGTCCAATCCATCCGTCACTCCCCGTAACCAAAGGGAAAGGCCGCTGGAAGCGCGATGAGGAATAATGAAGATCGATTGTGTTCTGGGCCACTTCCGTCACGATTGACGGCGCCCAGCCTGTGCAATGATGCCGTCGTGACTCTCAGCCGCGAAGATCGCTGGCCAACGATCTGCCATTGAGGCAAGTCGAGGACATGCCATATGATCGACCCTCTCAGCCGTACGCCAGGGACATCCATGCAGACACACATAACGAAGCAGACGAGAGAGACACCACAGTCTAAAGCTCGCTTCTGTTGGCACGATTGAGCAGGTTGTTTCTCGATCAGGCATTTGTCTAGAGACATTCGTCGGGCAGCATGCATGTCTAGCATGAGTCTCTCCCGTTCAGCTGGGACGCAGAAAATCACGCTACATCCCGCGCTGTTGCATTTCGTTGCCTCGATTCGGTCTCGTAATAGTAATAGTCCCTCCCAAAGCGCAAGTTTTGGCCGACATATCACTTTCGGCAGTCACTTGGAACAGCGAAAACTCTGCCGTCTGACGAACTCAATATGATAGCTTCCAAGACATGTCAAAGGCCGAATATTGACCGCACACGCTCTGGCTTTTGCCTTCATTCCCCCGGTTTTTTGCCTCCGATCCTCGCTCACAACCCCTCCCACATCGCGTGATCAAGTTGCTGTTTGTGGAGAGATCCAAGACTTTACCAAGAGACGCCGTTCCAACTTTCAATCTGGTTTGGGGGTTTCCCTGTGAAGAATTTTCCTTCCGACGGCCTTGAGCTTCTTGGCTGGCTGCCTGAGTTGCCTTCCCGCGATGCCGAGACTGAACAAGCAACACCAAGCTCAAGGCACCAGCATTGAGGCGTTCACTGAGTGAAGCTTCGATGTCTGGGCGCGGGCGCAGGCTCGTGGAACATGGCCAGGGGCCTGTGTATGGAAGGCAATGGGATGAACCGAATGAAGAGTCAAGAGAAAGACAAGAGATTGATTACTGCGAAAACCTTACTGTTGGACCATGCCAAATGCGAACCTCCGGTACAGGACCATGGAGAGATTTGCCAAGCTGGCTTTGCCCCCAAATCAAGATAATGTCACCGAGAGTACTCGCGTACTGCATAATGAAGAGAGAGAAAGCCGGGGGACTCTTCAAAGTTCTGTTTGTGTTTGTTTGGCGCGGGTGCGATCCCTTTGGAATCGGGAGGATCCTTTAACGCTGGTCTCATTTACGCCAAGAATGGCGTGCTCGACACCATCGTCCAATATGCTTCCCGGGCCCCGTTCTTTTTTTCTCCAACACCACACCCCCATGCATCCTCACCTCCCCCATATCACACCCTTCACTTTCAGCCCCGGGGAGACAACCAGAGAACAGATGGAGCAGGGACCAGCCTTCCTGTTGTCTTCTGGGGGTTGGTCCAGCCGTCTTGTCGTCCATACGGGGGGTGAGAGAAGGGGTGGTAGAGATGGTGGTGGTGATGGTGGACAGAGCTCCCCCAAGAGTGCCATTGGGATGTCGATTTTCCCATCTCGGGTGTTCGGCAGGACATCTGGACCACACACGACGTCGACTATGCTAGACACGGCATCGCGGACGAACCTGACAGCAGTAACCGACAAACCCGTCTGGCTTTTAAGCTTAATGAGAGGAGCATCGACCCGGTATGCTGGGAAAATTGAAAAGAGAGAAAAGGCATGAGCAGGAACGCCTGTCCAGTGCAAGCCTGCATATATTCGAGCAAGCCACTGAATATGAACTTATGTTACCCGCCGCATACCGCGGAGAAAGGCCAATTTAGTTCCCTTTTTCTCTCTCTTCTCGGCCGCAGTCTCTTAATAGCTTTGGCACTACTCTTCACTACCGCCCGCCTTGTCCGGCCTTTCCAACGTCTCAAACATGCCGCGCGCTCGATACCCTCACCAGTGGTCTGGAACGCCAGTAGTCAACCCTCTACTGATCAGCCCCAGTGCCACCTGCCGTGTCCTTCACCGGTCGATCCCTGATCGATGTGCAAAAGGCTGAAGAGGACGGCATGATCACACGGAGAGCCGATCTCAGCTTTTGAGTGGTCTGGGAGGCGAAGATATCGTCCATCCATTCAAGATGTTGGTACTAATATCCCAGTTGTGATCTGCCGTGTGTGCGTGTGTCTGCGCATGTTAGCCGCGCAGTAGCCCAGCTGCATATGGCACATGCCGAATTAAGGCCATCCCGGCCGCGCAGTGACTTGGGGACGGCGGAACTTTGCTTTTCTGACAGCTCTCCTCCTCCTGCTCGTCGTCGCCCCCACGCGTCCAACCGAGAGAGTCAGCATCCCCGGCGGCCGGGCACGGGCGAGGGAGAAGCCATCGAATTGGGTTGGACTAATTAGCTTTGGTCAGGCAAGACAGTCGTCCGAGAGAGTGGTCGCACCGAAGGCTAGCATTCCACACCCCGGCCTGGAGTGCATGTACGTATTTCCAACACGCGGAAGTACCTACAGGAAAACAGTCAGCCAGACATGCTCTTCCCACGAAAGAAGAGGACCCTTTCTTAGCTCGGTCTAATATGCATACGGGGAGAAACTGGTGGCCCACCCCGCCCGTTTCCCCCCAGTGCGGCCTGGGCCACCACATATCAAAATAGCGATGCTACTCCAAAACATATGGGCTGTTCCAGAGGACTGGATGCCTTCTAGAGACTTTCTGCGATTTCTCAAATTCATCAAGATGGAGGAAATCAAAATGAGAGGGTGTCTACATCCCATGCGACGCCATAGAGAATGATTATGTCGTCAGAAAATGGCTTTCAACTCCCACACCCCTACCCTTGGCGGCATGTGGGAGTGCAACATTCGCAGGGCTCCAATCGAAGGGCACCTTGGCGAGGCCTGGACGATCCGAAGCCACGCTTCTTGGCGACGCGGCCAAGCTTTGCTTCCAAGAGGGGGATAGCATCATCGTGGGTTCTTGTCAGTTTTTTGAGGTTTCTTGGGGGTGACTTGTGTTCCGCAGCATATAAGGTTCCCCGGTCCCGGACGTGCCCTTACCAATATGCCTCGTTCGTGTCGTCCCGTCTCCCGGTCCAGGTCAGAAACCTTATTAGTTGACTCGTCCGCCTCCTCTTTTGAGATTTGGTGTTTCCTACCTCATTGAATTCTTCGTCACCAAGACCTGTCTTCCCTTTGCCAAGTGTTTCCTATACCTTGGGACAACTACTTCGGATCAATCTCTTGGGAACATTACACACGGCAGACCGTCACTTCCGGACGCGCCTTTCGCCATGTCGAGCAAGGTCGGAAGAACTTTGGCCAAGGGCCTTGGTATCGACGTCGATGCCCGGTACCGCAACGAGCCTACCGAGGCCGTCCAATCCGCCGCCGCCTCGTTCCGCTCCGTCGAGCAGTATGAGGAGAGGGAACCTACCGTCGCCGAGTTCCTGTACGAGCACCGGCCCACGGTTCACGGCGCTGTGAACTACATCAAGAGCCTGTTCCCCTTTTGGTCGTGGATCTTCCACTACAATGCTACCTGGCTTCTGGGAGACATCATTGCTGGTATGTTTTTCATGTGATGCCACTGGTGCTTGCTCAAATATCACATTGAATGAGCCCTTGTGATGCCATTTTATCTGCCATCTCATTCCAATACCTCGGAATACCTTGATAGCTAACTATATCATCTAAAGGTGTCACTGTCGGTTTCGTCGTCATCCCCCAAGGCATGGCCTACGCCCTCCTCGCGCAATTGACCCCCGAATACGGTCTCTACACCTCCTTCGTCGGTTTCATTCTCTACTGGGCCTTTGCGACCTCAAAGGACATCACAATCGGAACCGTCGCCGTTATGTCCCAACTCGTCGGTAACATCGTGCTCCGCGTCAAGGACTCCCACCCGCAATACGACGGCCCTCAAATCGCTCAAGCCCTGGCCGTCATCTCCGGAGCCGTCCTGTTGTTCATCGGTCTCGTCCGTCTGGGATGGATCGTCGAGTTCATCCCGCTCGTGGCCATCACTTCCTTCATGACCGGTGCCGCCATTAGCATCGCCGCGGGTCAAGTTCCCGCCCTCCTCGGTCTGCAGGGCGTCAACACTCGTAACCCGACGTACGAGGTTATTATCGATTTCCTGAAGGCGCTGCCTACCGCCAGACTCGACGCCGCGATGGGTCTCACGGCCTTGTTCTTGCTGTACTCTATCCGCTCGTTCTGCAACTTCATGTCGAACAAGCAGCCCCACCGCAAGAAGTTCTGGTTCTTCATGTCGACACTCCGCATGGCGTTTGTCATTCTCCTATACGTCCTCATCAGCTGGCTCGTCAACCGTCACGTCAACTGGGACGCCAAGAAGGCCAAGTTCAAGATTTTGGGCAAGGTCCCCAGTGGTTTCCAGCACACCGGCGCTCCTAAGATTGACACGGAGCTCCTTGGTGCCGTGGCCCCTGATTTGCCAGTCACCATCATCGTCCTCATCATCGAGCACATTGCCATTTCCAAGTCCTTCGGAAGAGTCAACAACTACGTCATCAACCCCTCGCAGGAGCTCGTCGCCGTCGGCTTCACGAACCTCTTCGGACCCTTCCTCGGCGCCTACCCGGCCACTGGATCCTTCTCCCGTACCGCCATCAAGTCCAAGGCCGGTGTTCGCACGCCCCTTGCTGGTATCTTCACTGCCGTCATCGTTCTCCTGGCCCTGTACGCCCTGACCTCCGTCTTCTTCTATATCCCCATGGCCACCCTCGCCGGTCTCATTATCCACGCCGTCGGTGACCTCATCACGCCGCCTAAGGTGGTGTACCAGTTCTGGGAGGTGTCGCCCCTTGAGGTCTTCATCTTCTTCGCTGGCGTTCTCCTCACCATCTTCACCAACATTGAGAACGGCATCTATCTGACCATGTGCGCATCTGCCGCCCTCCTGCTGGTGCGTCTCGCGAAGGCCAAGGGTCACTTCCTCGGACGCGTCAAGGTCTACCGTGCCACGAAAGACACCGCCGGCAAGGGCGTTCCCTTCAACGAGAGGGGCGAGGCTATCGATGTTCCTGCCCGTGAGAGCTACATCCCTCTCGAGAAGGATGACGGCTCGAACCCCAACATCGACGTTCAGACCCCGTACCCCGGTGTCTTTGTTTACCGGTTCGGCGAGGGCTTCAACTACACCAACCAGGCTCACTACATGGATGCCCTGGTCGCCTATGTACAGAAGCACGCAAGACGGACAATTCTCGATCGCTACGAGAAGCTCGGCGTAAGTTCACCTACCTTCTGTACCCCGCTTGACCATTCATCTAACAACCGCCCAATAGGACCGTCCCTGGAACGACCCCGGTCCGCGCCGTGGCGCCAAGATCGATCTCGACGACACCCGCCCTATTGTCCGCGCAATCATCCTAGACTGCTCTGCTGTTAACAACATCGACGTGACCTCAATTCAAGGCCTCATCGATGTCCGCAACGCTCTAGACCACTACGCCGAGCCCGAGGTCGTCGAATGGCACTTTGCCAACGTCAACAACCGCTGGACCCGCCGCGCCCTCGCTGCCGCCGGCTTCGGATTCCCCTCCGTCAAGGATGAGGGCAACTTTGGACGGTGGAAGCCCATCTACAGCTTCGCACCCGTGGACTCTGGATCAGGTCACGAGCCCCGGGTCACCTCGCAGCGCAGCCGCGACGAAGAGGAAGAGGACGTCATCTCTCCCACGAGCAAGGGTCACGATGGTGCTGCGAGGGTTGTGGGACGTGGTGATGGCAAGCTTGCTGCTGTGCAGGGTATGAATCGGCCATTCTTCCACATTGATGTTGCTGCGGCTGTGGAGAGTGCGATTCTGAATGCGGAGAGCAAGAGTGATGGGCAGAGATCGTCGGCTGAGTCGGTCCTTAAGAGCGGTTAGAGTTGATCAAGCGGCCATGACGTGCACATTTGTTATGGTGCTTGATGAGGTGTAGTAATTGTTGTTCAAAGATTATAGATCCAGATACCAAGTTGTGTTGTTGCATATACCGCTCTAGGGATTGGGGAGAGGCCCTAGTTACACCTTCTAATTCAATCTTTTCCCATTATCCCTATCAAATAATGTTCTGAATTGAGATCTGTGAGACTTCTGAAGCCTTCAAAGCTGTGTTTCAGCATTGTATCCGTGCAGATTGGCGTAGGGAGGTGGTCTGAAACGCCGCTGATGCATCTTGGCATTCTGCCTTTGCCGTCGTCTCATCAGCGTGCGCCAACTTTTGATGGGACAGATTCCCGAGCGCAAGATTAATCTCTAATCTCTACAACTTCAAAGATCCTTCTTCAATTGTATTACATCAAGAATCATGCGAATATCATCAAATCCCATTGTACGAGCCGCCCTCGTGGCGGCATGGCTCGCCTCAACAGTCCTCGCGATGCCTCAAGTAGTCGACCGCGATGACCCCCCACCCACCCCACCAGCACCGCCGAAACCCATCGCGACAGCCGACCAAGTCGACATTACTCAGCCAAACACCACTGTCCCTCCACCACAAGAACAAAAGCCGCCCGTTCCGATCACAGTCCGGCTGTTCCCCAGCTCGCCGGGCGTCAAGAACTGCCGCGGCGCGTCCTTTGTCGATATGGAGCTCCCGCAGAACGCGTCGACGGAGCCGACATTCACGACCAAGGACGGGCAGTGCTACAACCTACCGGGCACCGCGCAGTGCGGCATCTTTATGGGAAACAAGGCGGACGGATGCGAGGCCAAGCTGTTTCGCGGGGAGCGGTGCAGCGCGTTTTCCAACGTTGCTGTTTTTCAGGACGAACTACGGCCCGTGGGCGGCTTCTTTGCGAGTATGAGCATCAAGTGCGGTGTCATACCCGTTGAGCCGAAGCCGTTGAGTTTGGGTGGCTTGGGCGGCAAGATGCAGAAGCCCGTTCAGGGGAAGGGCAAGAAGGCCAGGAGGGCGGTTGTGTCTGCGATACTCGACGATGACTAGACTCGCACGGGATGCGGCATGGAGGGAACATTGAAGGCTTTGCTTGATAGGCGTTAAGGGTCTGGGACTTGAAGCGAGATTCCACCCCCCGGTTCAAGGGCTCGGGAGGCTTACGGGAGTTGCGGCACATAGACGCCGGCAATGACAGGATGGCATTAGCCGTTGACGAATAATGATAATGACACTTGACGACCATACGAGAGTTTTCCTTCAGTGAGGCAGCCCCCGATTAGCTGTGGCCCTAGCCACCCCAGTAAACCTGCCAAAGCCAAGTTCCAATTAATGTCGTTCTGGGTCTTATGACGCCGGACGTTAGACCAGGCAAATACCTGGTAACACGACGGTGTTCGGTTTCTCGGCTCATCAGGGCCAATTCACGTCCGACTGGCTCGATGCCTCGGGCTCGTTATGCTGGTGGCGACCAAAAACATGGACCGTCGTGCCAGAGGGAGGATCAAACAGGAGGGGGCCACAGCCGGACCACATCGTCCACAATCTTTTGTTGTGGTTGATTGGTCTGTGCTTGGGGGAGGAGAATTGTGAGACACCCTGCTTGGCGATCATGGACTCTCAGTTTGGCCCCGTTTGCTGAGCTTATTCTCTCGATGGTCGTATTGCAGACTGGAGACTATGGAAACTCTCTGTTCTCGAACTCAAGTTCGACAGAACAGAAAACGATTCTGCCAAAGGATCCAACGGCTTCGAACGTGCACAATCATATACGAAGAGATAAGCTAGCCGCGGCGTCCCAAGTCTCTGGCGTGGCTTTCACCCAAGACACCAGACCGTCTGATCTGAGATCCCAAATGTGTCATCTCGTCTCAGACGCTCCAGCCCCTTGCACTGACAAGAACACCCTCCTACCGAGTGTGTCCCCCCTCCCACTGCTCCCCTCCATGTCAATTATGGCACATATAACGACACAGACTTCCTTGATCCCTCTCTTTTTAGTTGTCTGCTGCCACTCTTCCCTCATTTTTGAACGAGTCATCCTTCTTTTTTCCTCTCTTCTTTCCTTTTGGGGTTGTATTCCTTCACTTCTCAGTGGCCGGCCACTTTTAAACTTTGGGTTGTCATTGAACTTTATCGGCTGGTTTCTGTCGCGGTCCTTTCAGTTAAACTTGAAGTTCTCTCGACACCACCCTTGTCTACCTTTCATAATACAATACCATCTATTCCTCCATCTCACCTTTCGCTCAAGCTCGACATCAAAGCGGACAAGTGCCACCGAAAGTCAAGATGCAGCACTCAATCTTCACCAACCTCTTCCTGGCGGTCTCTCTTATGAGCACCGCCGCCTTCGGTAAAGCAATCGAGGTCCCGGCCCCGGGCCCCGCCGTCGTCGTCCGCCAGACAAACCCCACGACACCCGCCCAGTCAACCATCATGTCATGCGGCGAGTACTCCCGCATCGCCAACCTCTCCACCGTCGGCGCGAACAGCACCTACCGCGCCACCTTTTTCGAGGCCTCGCCCAACGGGAACCAGTTCAACGCCGAGGTCCTCGACACCGCCATCCTCAAGCTGCCGACCGTCATCATGGACCGCGCGCTGAACGAGGCCTGCGGAAACCTGACGGCGCTGGCGATCCAGGAGGCGGCGAACAACTTCTCGATCCGCACCGTGTTGCAGTTTTCAAACATCCCGCCTGCTGAGCCGCTTGATACCTCTACGCACATCATCTTTGTCTGTGCCGGTGCGTTGTTCTTCATGAGTGGAATTTGGGTGGCCATGCCGTGAGAGAAGCCGTCTCGATATGGTGCAGGGGGGGTTGAGGAGGAGTTGATGGGAAAGATGGGAGGCGAGGCAAGGAGAGGGAGAGAGTGGGGGAGAGGACCGATGTTCAAATCACCCGGATTCTACAGACCTAATGCATCCCACCTGAACCCAGCTTTGAAATGCGGATTTGCTCTAAGTCGGAATGGGACTTGAGAGATATGCTTAGCACGGTGTTGAACATGAATGCCATTACGATACCCAATTAAAGTCATTTACTTACCTTGGCCACTGTATCGACCCAAGAGAAGATCAGACTTCATTTCGGTGATCTGATCGCCTAGCTATTTGATCTCATCTCGAAACTCGGCAATTTCCGGAGTCGATACTTCCAATCTTTTTTTCTTTTTCAATTTTGCCTGCGGAGATATTGATGAGGAGAGAATCGTCTCGTATCGAAAATCAGTGGGCAGGCGGATCGAGCAGTCTGGCCCTTCCATGATTGGCGAGCTGGATGAAGGTATCTGGACAGAGTTCCGCCTCGATCGTTATGATGAAGATTGAAATGTTGCCGTGCTCCCCGATCCCACGGATTGCACAAATTCTATAAAACGGATCCTTCAAGACCCGGCGGCTTACACACTAGATACAACTATATTCTAGTTACTCTGAAAACTCACTATGAATCATCATGGCTCAGTGTGTAATGTGCGACTCTCATTGGTTGCTAGCGGACTAGTAGATCGGCTTGGACCCTGAACGATCTAGGCATGCACGTGCATCGATCGCTCCTGTCAGTCCAAGGACTTTGATGCCTCTGCTAAGTACCGCACAAAACAGTATATATCGAAGCTCTTCCTTGTTCTACCTTGGACGTCGTCTTTCATTCCTCTTCCAACTCTCCATACAGCTGACGCCCACGATATTTGGAAAATGTCAGAATCAACTCACGCTATCGTCTTTGGCGCCTCTGGCCTGCTCGGCTGGGCGACTGTCGAGCAGCTGCTCTCTAACTACCCCTCAGAAGGCTCCTTCGAGAATGTCACGGCTGTGATGAATAGACCGCTGTTAGAATCCGACTCTTTCTGGCCACCAGCGTCGCCCACCAGGCCCAGATTGCAAATCGCTTCTGATGTCAACCTTACTGGGACGCTGGAAGACCTGACTTCGCAGCTCAAAGGCAAAGTTGATGGGATCGAGGGCGTCACCCATGTATTCTATTTCGGTGAGAATTTTATCCCGTCTGACAATTTAATTCACTGGAGGATGTAGCTAATATTCTGGCCATTATCACAGTCTTCAATCAGGGCGATGGGGATGATGTTGCCGAGTGCAAGACCAACTGTAGTATGATGCAGACGGTGGTCGATGCGGTGACCACGTTGTCGCCAAACCTCAAGGCATTTGTCTACTCTGGCGGAACCAGAGTAAGTTTTCCTCATCTCCCATCATACCATGATATAAAGCTGACAAACATCACTCAGGGCTACGGGATTTACACACCTGGCGGTACCTTCAAGCCCCCCTTGGAGGAATCAATGGCAGACAACCTCCCTGAAGACTACGCAAAGACCGTCGCGTACCCCTGGTGGCGTCAAATTCTCGCGAAGGCGAGCGATGGCAAGCCGTGGACCTGGTCAGAAGTATGCCCAGACGCGGTAGTTGGATTCTCCCCGAATGGATCCGGTTTCTCGTTGGCACTCCACTGGGCGCAGTACCTATCCCTCTACGCCTATAATCACGGAGTGAGCAAGAACTCCAAGTCCAATGTTGAAGTTTCATTCCCTGGAAACCAGGCGGGGTACAACAGCCTTTGTACTCCCGTCTCTTCTCGGATTCTTGGTCGCATCGCCATACACGCCTCACTTCATGGGGACAAGTGCGGTACAAAGGTCATCAACATGGCCGACAGAGAGCAGCCTACCAAGTTTAGTGACCTATGGCCATCGATCGCTGATTGGTTCGGACTGGTTGGTGTTGGACCGAGGGAAAACGACAATGCAGAGAAGCCTGGGGAGTATGTCAAGAAACATAGGCAGATATTCGAAGAACAGGGCTGTGGTAGAGCTGTCACTGCTGGCGTTGGGGGTGGAAGTGTCCAGCTTGACAGCGTTGGGTACTGGTTGTCTTTCGATCGACAGCTTAGCTTGCAGAGGTTGAGGTCTGTGGGATTCACCGAAGAGAGAAATCCCGTTCAGGGCTGGCTGGAGGCGTTTGAGAAGTTTAGAGAAGCGAGCATCATTCTCTGACTACATCTGAACTGAATTAAAGAATACTTCAACTTGCAGCTGCGATGCAAGAGACGGACGGCGCCCGCTTGGTCCTGCTGGCCCTATGGAGCCCACAATGTCTGCACGGTGTTCTCTCAAATTTAGTGAAGTAGAAGAAACCCAGAGTTTCATCACAAAGTTGGGAGCATAGAGTGATTTACTAGATGATAACACCAAACCACCGCGGGGAATGACTAGCTCGATTTGGCTTGAAGAAATTAAGCGCATCATTAGCTAGAGGCATTTGATCTGACATCGCATTACTTCTATCTATGTTGCCCTGCACACATTCCATAGCCTTATCATAGCCTTCTACAATGATCTGATACTTCGCTTTAACAGGTTGAAGTCTACTCCTTCCCCAAAAGCCACCTCATTCCCTTCATCGTATTCGGCCCTAGCTCCGCAGGCTGGTCTTGGGGAGCAAAGATAGTCCAGCCTTGATGTCCCCAGTCAGGATAGTTATCAACTCTTGACTCAACTCCATTATCCTTCAAAACTTTGGCATATATCAACCCATCATCCCTCAACGGGTCTCGATCGCCAACCTGAATATAAGCCTTGGGTGATTTAGGGATGGCCTCAGGATCGTTGAAAGGCGAGTACCATGGCGACTTGATCTCCGCCTGCAACGCCTTCGACACATCGTTAATAACAGCGGTAGTAAAAGTCGGGCTCCATTCGGCGTTGGTCTCGCGTGAAACCCACTCCTCGGCGTACTTCTCCGGCACAATTTCCTTGACAAGCAGGAATGGTATTCCCAGAAGCGTGCCAGTAATGCTCAATCCCTCGACACCAGACCTCTGGCTGACAACCGAGGCAATGTTCGCACCAGCAGACCACCCGCCGACAATAAAGCCCTTGCTGATATCCCCGCCGAATCGACTAGCATTCTTCGATAACCATACAGCAGTCTCCCAACCGTCCTTGACTGACCTGGGAAACTTATGTTCAGGCGCGAGACGGTAAGTCGCGTTGACCACCACAGCGCCGAACTCAAGCGCAAATTCCCGCGCGGGCCGGGTCGTCGGCTCGACGCCGGCAACGATGAAACCACCACCTGGCCATAGGAGGATGAGAGGCCGGTCTGCGTTCGACTCGTCTACGCCGCGCGGGCGGACAATTTGGAGATCAATTTTGTAGCCATCTGAGAGAGTTGCGACGTCGCGGAATTCTTCGAGGGACTTGTCGAGTGGAGGAAGAGCGGCTAAGAGGCTCTGAAGGAGTTGAGGTCGGGTATCCCTGGATTTTATGAATGACTCCATGATCAAAACTTTCAGCGAAATTTGATGTGCGAGATGAATCTGGGACTTGAGGTTGCGTAGTTGAATAGGTGTGAGGAATGGGGGTTTTGAAAGAGATTGTTTCGGCTTTCTTCACTGATTTCTCGTATTCAGTATCCGAGTCGTACCGCCCCCGCCCCCATGAATGTGGATCCGGGGAGAGGTCGAGTTGAGAACGCGGGGCGTCGGGCCAAGTCCGGCGTCGGCAATGCGACGTCGGAGCTGTCTAATGGCATCTAAGTGGTTCCAATCATCACGACGGGTCCGTCGACGGGATGTTCTGCACCGAAACCGAACTCGTTGATCCAGCATGGTCGTACGGCAATAGTCACCTGGGGATCCGGGTATAAGAGCTGCCAAATTTGCATGTACACTTTACCGAGATCCGTCATCTAAGGCCCGCTGTATGTTGCTGTCGGATTGGAAGTCCAATTCGACCTCGACGTACGGCAGCCCGCGCAGGGGCCAATTACGGGCCCTACTTCTGATTATCGCAGCCTGCCCAACCTACGGTTGGAACTTCCCTTCTACACCTACGCAGCAGAATCATATAGTCAATTGACCTACTTCGTCAAAACCACGGTTCGAACCAATCGACCAATATCCCTGTGATAGAGATACCAACAGTTGCCTTGAATTACTCGTTGTCGCACGTAGGTAAATACAGAGTTTCTAGCCCAGTGACGAGCCTTTTCACGACAGACAATCAGCGGAAAACCTGGCCTCTCTCCCTGAGTATATCCTGGTAATGGCTTGGTCTGTAGCCCTGCTCATGGTACGTGTATATGTAGAAGAAGTGTAATGTTTCATCAACATATTTCTCGGTATCGTCCCCATAGAAAAGTTTTCTTCACTACCAGCTCAATCAATCTGGCTCCCAAACAATTGTGACATGAGGAAACATCTGCCATGAGTATGATAATCCAACCAAGAGGCGAGATCGGCCTTCTCTGTCTTTTTCCAACGTCGATTGCGATTGTAATAACCTAGAGTGCATGATATTACAAAGTATTCGCATCGCAGAAAGACACTGGCTCCTTGTCAACCGCCCATTACGATACACGGAAGATAACCGGGTTGGCGAGCCAAGCGAATGCAGCACGTGAGGCAAGCTGAAGCTTGAATGACACAACGCCTAGTGACAACATGCCTTTCAACAGGAGGTCCTACCCATCTATCCACCTCACGTTTCATCAAACCACACACAAGAAGCTGTTCAAGCGTATTCCCGTGTAAAGCGTACACCAGCACCTCTGCGGCGTCTCGTCGGCGTAAAGAAGCCACTTGGAAACCACTCAATACCACATCCTGGTCATTTTCCAAAGTATACAGCCCATCTTTCTCATGATTGCATTTAGGAACAGCCCAATAGGATGTGAGTCGAGAAATACAACGCTGGAAGGAGACTTTCATTGGTCCTGACGTCTTTCCTGCTAGTTTCAATTGGACATACACGATCTCTTCTTGGATAATCACATCCATGGCAATCCTACTTTCTGGAGGTCTGTGATGTGGTCCCAGTGTGGTTCCGGTCGCTAAGGAGACAACCTCTGCAAGCTCGTTGGTGGGATCAGGGCCGTTGCCTTCCATGTCAGGATATAGTCGTTCTACAATGACATTGCGAAACGCTCCGGCCACCGATGCCCGACCGGACCGAATGTGGATGGTTCTACCAAACACATCAAAACAGTCAGTTCCTAATATACATGCGTAGTAGATGGTGAAGGCTCTTCCCGAGACCCCAAGAATGATATTTGTTTCTGTGGAGTTTTCGGTCGGACTTAGCCATCTAATTGCATAGTCAGAACAAACAAGTTTCCCAAGGTGATTGAAGATGTCTTCGTCCGACGGTACCAATTTGCCGGAGCGTCTTGGGTTTCTCTCCCTGCCTGGTTCTCTCTCATCGATGAATGAAGGTGATAGAGAGAGGGACGTTTCGTCTTCGAGTATTGGGTTCCAGCTTGTCGTGAATTCTTCCGGAAAGACTTGACGTGGGAAGCCCATGTGCCCACCGTCGACGAGTTGTTGAATCCAGCTTGTCATGATATCTCCCGCAATGACTTCCTCCAGCACTCTGAGTTCCGTGGCGTCAAATGTGCAAAACATGAGCGCTAGGGCTGTAGCCGCGAAAGAGTAAATCAGCCTTCCGACTGCCCTACAGGCACAAGGGAATGGAGGGATGCGTTTCTTGGCGCGTTTAGTTTTGCCCGTCCTCAAATCGATTCTTCCTCGCCTTTCGCTAGCGCCTGACTCATTGGAGAAGGCTGACGAATGTATACGACAGTTCTTAGCGACCGCTACTATACTTATCGGGTTAAGGAAGATAAGGCCTTGGGACTCCACGACAGCCTCCTCGTTTTTGGTCATTTGTAGGATGACGGGGTTTCCCAGGTTGAGGCTGGGGGGAAAGGCTGGGGCTTCTTCGTCCAAGTCGACATCGATGCCCATTACATTCAAAACCTTCTCCAATGCCCTCATACCATCGAATGGCACTTTTATAGAATAGGCGGAAGTTCTGTCCATGGGCGAGTCAAAACCGGTTTTGAGTTCTTTAAATAGGTTGAAAGATAGAAATCTTATCGCATGTCGAATAGATTTAGCGACATCGTTGTCGATTTCCGGCCATTTGTAGATCTGACTTTCAAGGGCCTCTCCGATCAGACAATCAACCCTCAATAAGGGCTCACCCCCTTCTTCGTTGTAGTCGTCTTCAATCACTTCGCTGACTTGTGAGAACAACTGAAGAGCGTCGTGGGCTGTAGACTCGTCACCAAGTTGAAAGAGAATGTACCCATGCTCACCACCGCTAGCCCATACAATCTTTTGATTGTAACGAACATCCACAGCCATGCCCAGTATATGGCTCGCAAAAGCTGGGAGCCATGACCCGCGCATCTTGGGCGTCATGTAATCTCTCTGCTTCTTTTGAGATGTGTGAATGAGCTGTTTGATGGCGCCAGCTAGGGAAGCAGCGCTACCCATGCCTATGAACTGATTGAGAGAATCGGAGATGTCATTTCCGTCTCTGCTGGAACTTCTTTTCTGCCCTACTACGGCTCTATTTTCCAGTCTGATCGCGCGCTCTGCAAGATTCGTTATATGCTGGAAAACCTTCGAGAAGCCGAGGTCTTGGGTGAATGGGGCCAAGTAGTTGACCAAACCCTTGAGCACATCGACACTCGGCAGCATATCAGCCTCAAGTCCGTAGATTGCCATCACCTCAGATAGACACTGGGCGGCCGCAAAGGCTTGGCATCCCGTTGAGAGGGCGCCAATCAGAATGATAGCATTGGTCCCAGCAACAGTTCGAGCCAAATCTGCCACAGGTGCCGAGTGGCCCCAACCGATGCTGAGCGCTTTGGATAGGACCGATTGATATGTCTTCTTCGACATAATGTGGGCATACAATGAGCTCTGGTGCAGATCCTGGACTGGTATACGCTTTCCCAGCTGTACAGCTGCCCACATGGCATACGTATCGACACCTCCATCGCTTAGGGCCTTGAGCAGTCGCCCGGTCAAGACGTGTCCCAGAGAAGCCGTGTTCACCACGTCGGCTTGGAAGCTGAAGCCTACTGGATCGGACATGGTCGGTCGTCGTATAGTTTGTGGTATTCGCTCGCGACTTTGAGGTCTGGACGACGTTAGTTAGTGTACAAGAAGGATGTTGGAAGACTACTCGCCTGTTAGGGTGACCTTCTGCTTGTAACAAAAGCGGCGGGCTGATCAACCGTTGGCGAACTTTGGTGATGTTGACTGTGACCTCCCGGTGAACAACATCAGAGATGGAAAAGAGGGGTAAGGTCGGTGTCTAGAAGCAGGCTGAGCTGGGCTGAGCGATGGCAGGAGGCTCTGCCCATACATCTTGCTGCGTCTCAGGGGATCATGTAATTGGCCGGCGGTGCACGTCGTCGCTGGGAGGAACCAACACCACGAGACACCAAGAAGATAAAGGCAATTACCGATGGTATTTCTTAAAACAACATGGAGATATAGTCCATGGGCTATGAAATTCAATTTCGAAAACCACAATGATTCTTATTGATCTAGGAGGAAGAGTAAGTGATGCGCCTGCTACCTACTTTAATCTGCGGAGCGCTTGCAGAGGTGAGGTGAAGTAGCAACAAAAGTGCATCCATCTCCTACCCAATCAGGCCAATGCATTCCCGCGCTAACCTGGGCATAATTGTTAGTAGTGACTTCACGTCCAGCACAACACCAAACCAATCTTCACCAAATCGTCCACATTCGTCTCATCACCACTCCGATTCTCACCACCAACCTCCCAATCTTCACAATCCATCAGCAATCTTTCAGAACCATGGCACGCACAGAAGAAGCAGAAGCCTTCTTCCACGCAGTCTACACCGCAGTGCAAGAAATTCCCGTCGGCAAAGTCACAACCTACGGCCACATCGCCAGACTCGTCGGAACCCGTGAGTCCTTCTTTCCCTCACTCCGCCCCTTCACTCTCCCCCTCTCTTCACCCGGAACCCCATTCATCAAATTTCATCCCTCCCACGATTCATGCACTATACGCGACATTCATGTAGAAAACCTGTCAGGTAACAACTAACAACTTTCAAAGCCGAACGTCCCCGTCAAGTAGGCATCTGCCTCAAACACCTCCCCACAGACCCAGCATCCCGCTTCAACAACGAAAACGTCCCATGGCAGCGCGTCATCAACGCCAAAGGAACCATTTCGCCACGGTACATCCACCTCACTACCCACTCCTACAACCCATTTTCGCACCATCACACTCACGCTCACTTACGTACATAACGCCCCTAACATCACATCTCTCACTAGCTCCCAGCCGTCAGGTGCTCGAAACCAAGCCGAAGCCCTACAAGCCGAGGACGTCGAGGTCTCGCGGACGGCAATGGGCGAGTTCCAGGTCGACTTCAGTTCCTACGGCTGGTTTCCCGATGTTCTCCCCTCTGAAGAAGAATGAAGGCAGATACAGTCAAGATTCTGAATCAGACGTGTCTCAACATCGAAAGAGTCCGAAAGGTCACAAAGCGGACGGACCTGTCTTTTTAATCGTCAATGCAAAGGCGCGGCACGAGGCGCGACACGTGGAGTACGAGTGAACTTCCAAGCCACTTTTATTCAACCGACGGCATTCTAGCGGGCGCCAAAAACTAGCATTAGCCAAGGTGTCTAATTACCCCCTCGTCTTGTCTCTCAAGACCATCTTTGAGTAGTCAGGCAGCCAAAGGCAGCCAGCCCGGCCTCGCAAACACCTCGAGAGACCGCCACCAAACGCAACCGGTCCGTCTCCAACCCATCACCATCCCATCCACCATCATCCTTCCCTCGTGCCGTCATTAGTGCACGACGTCGGTCTTGCTATTCGTAAAAACAAAATGTTATGTAAGAGAAATAATTAGAATAGAAACAAAGAGAAGTGAAGGGTTGGATGGTGCATATCGTATGAGCGAAGTCGCGTAGTGGTATTGAAAAAGAGGAGTGGTCCATCGTCAATACCCTCCCAGCAGAAAAAGCACGTACGAGCCACCAGTATGAGAAACTCCTGCCCAATCTTTCTGGGTTTCGCCATGCGTAAGGGGAATCATCGTCGGCCAGCATGAAAAATGCCGCAAACGCAAAATACAATATGGTGCGAGGGGTAGTGTAAACGGCAAAAACGAAAATCAAGAGAACGCCCTGTCACGCCGAAAAAAAAAACAATCAAAAACCCGGCCCAATCGATGTCCATGATGCGAGACAGGTCAATCCAGTCGGACTCGGTCCCTCCGAGATGCGAGGTTCCAGCAACAAGGCTTCAACTAGAAGCAGTTGAGGGAACCCTTCTTCTTCTTCTTGGACAGTGCATTCATGCGCTCTTCAAGAAGACGCTGCTGTGCCTCGGCTGCCTGGCGCTTCTTGCGCTCCTCCTCAACGGCGTGCAAGCTCCAGCGGTTGTCGGCTTGCGGCGTAGGCGCGGGACGGTCCTTGAGCTCCTTGACCTCGGACTCCAACTCCACGCAGCGCTTGCGCCAAGCATCACTGTCGGCCTTGACCTTGTTCGACTGGCGCTCGAGGTCGGTGAGGGCCTCCTCCAGAGTCTGAGTGAGTTGCTTCTCGGCCTGAAGATGCTTCTCGATGGTGCGGATGCGAGCCTCCTGGTCTTCTTGAATTTGGTTGACAGGGCCCATGTTGTCTTTGCTGCCTGGTCGGCCTGCTTGAGTGGGTGTGCTTGGCACCGTGCCGTTGGGGCCGGACGACGCGCCGGGCAGCGGCGGCAAGGGAATGGCCGGCGGTGGAGAGGGCAGAGATGCAACAGAGGCGCTCTTCCGCAGCGGCGAGCTAATCGAGTTGGATCGTTGGACTTGGCCAGAAGCGGACGCTTCGTCAATCTTGGCCTGTACTACATTAGCAGTTGAAACAGAACGAGCTACTTGAATGGCACATACCTGGAGGGCCGCGTATTCGGCCTTGAGTGAATCAAGCTCGCTTTCAGCCTTGAACTTGGCAGCCTGAGCTTCCTCAATTTGCGAGTTGCGCTCTGTCTGCAGCGTGGACAGGCGGTTGTTGGTCATCTGGACCTGATCAAAGTTGCTCTGTAGCTGATCCTCGAGCTCTTCCACAAGGCGAGAGTTCTTCTTGTTCCGGCTCTGCAGGTCTGAAATCTTCTTACGAATAGCAGACAGCTGATCGGGGAGAGGAGCAGGGCTTTTCAGGGGCTCACCCTCCGCAGTAAGGAGATCGGTCAGCGTCGATTTGGCCTGCTCAAGTTCCTTGACCAGGTTGTCGTTAACGGTCGACAACTCGGCAACCTGCTTCTCAGCTGCGCTCGATTTCTTCTGCTCCTCGCCCAAGGCCTTCTGGTCGGCAATCAAGTCGTCGATACGCTCTGTGATCTTCTCGATGCTGACGTCGAGACCAAGAGCGAATGCAACTTGGGTAGCGACCTTCATGAGATCTTCCCGGGCGTCATTAAGCTCGCATTCAAGGGCCCTGACATTTTCCGCATGCTCATTGAGTAGGACTGCGACTTGCTCCTCGTACCCCTTCTGCTCCATCTGCTTCATTTCCTCTAGCTCCTTTGCGTGATTCTCCTGAAGCAGCTTCATACCATCTTGGTGTGTCTTGAGAGCCTGTTCGTGGGCTGTAATCTGGTTCTCCAGGTTCGTAATGAGGCTCTGCTGCGTCTTCGCCTGTGTCTCATGCAAGTTACGGGCCCTGATGACGTCCTCCAGCTCCGTCTTGGTGGCAGCGTGCGCTGCTTCCAGTTCGGATACCTTGCTAGAGTTGGTGGTGATGGCAACCTTGTGCTCGTCAATCTCGTCGCGAAGTGACTTGACCAGCGTCTCGTGCTTCTCCTCGATTTCCTTGACTTCCTCAGCACTCCGAGCAGTGGAGTGCGCGGAGGCCTGCGTGTTCAGCGCTACAATTTCAGATTCGAGCTCTTCGATGGTCCTCTTCATCCTCGTCTCCGTCTCTTGTAAGGTGTTGAGGGCAGTCTGGTGCTTCGTCTCCCATGCCGTGAGTTCGGCTTGTAATTCGGTGATCTTCTTGTCGTTCTCCTCTGTGGTCTGCAAAGATCTCGTTTCGGTGTTGGTCATCTCGGTCGATGCCATGGGGATGTCGGCAACGGCGCCGGCCGCGGCGGTCGCAACAACGGTCTCGGTAGTACCTTCAGGGGCTTCACCCACAGCAGGAGCATCCCTCACAGCAGTGCGCAATGTTTCGAGCTCGGCCATAAGCTTCTTCTCGGTGGCTTCATGATTTTCTCTCATTTCTGCCATCTGCTTCTCGTTGGCCTCGAGTTGGTTCTTCAGGGTGGAGATCATCGACATGTCCATCGGAGACGCCTGCAAACTAGATCGCTCACGAGTGAGCCCAGAAATCAGAGCCATCTTAGTCTCCATCTCTTTCTTGGCGGACGCAATGTCAGCCTCGAGCTCCTGAATGCGCTCCGATCGAGCATGCAGCTCGTGCATGGCTGCGTTGAGGTTAAGCTCGAAGTTTTGCATAACATCAGGCTGGCCTTCGAAGTTGTCTGCGGCAATGTTGCGGAGCGACGCAAAAGATCGATGAGCGCGGTCGATAATCATAACATTTTGGCTGGATTTGCGGCGAATGACGGGTTGGCCAGTTCGTGGCGACGACGCCTCCAATGCCTTTGCTTGGGCAACTTCGGTCTTCAGCTCCTCCAGCATATCCAGGGCTTCGTGGTGCTTCTGTTCAAGCTGTGTGTATTTCTCGGCCAGCTCCTTCTCTGCATCCTCCTTCTCGGCAGCAAGAGTCTTAAACCTCTCAACCTCCGTCGCCAGGAGATCCTGGTGCATGAGATCCTCCGTTGACAAATGTTCGGGACCCGACTCGGGCTTTGCAGTCACTGATGTCTCGGCATCAGACGGATCAATGGTGGCAGGCGACTCCAACGCCGACGAAAGCTCCGATGAAAGAGAGCGTGATGAAAATTGGCCGCCGTCTTTGAGATCACTCGACCTGGCGTCGGAGAAGAACGAGGGTGGTCGAGTCAGGGTGGGAGAAGTGACAGACATCATAGAATCTCGGACCTTGCGTTCGGGGTGGCGAGACTCGTCGATAGTGTCCTGAAGCTCTGCCAAAGTGCGTAGGGCTTCCTCGTACTTGGAGTGCAGAAGGTCGTATTCGTTGACCGTGGTCTCATGCTCTACCCTTAAGTCGATGAGCTCCTGAGTGACGTTCTCCAGCTTGTCGTGCACAAATTTGGACTGAGCAGGGCTGTGAGGTGGGTAGTCGTTGATATCAGCCTGAAGGTTCTCCTTCGCATCAGGTGTCACAACATTGGTGCCATTTTCGATGTGATCGCCGTTTTGAGCGGGACCTGTTGCCTCAGCTGCCGCCGCGGCTTCTTCTTCGGCATGCTCAGGAATGATATCATTCTGGCTCATGCGGATAACACGCGACTGAGACTGGCTACGAGTGTGGTCAGCAATTTGGCGCGTAACGCCGTTCGATGCTTCGGCAGTTGGATCTGGAACTTTGCTATCGCCTTGAATGTGGTCCAGCTCGTGAAGCAGAGAGTCCAGCTTTCCGAGACTTCGCTGGCGCTCAATCACCTGCTCTAGTCGATCAATTTCACGCTGCATCAGCTCGGCATCCTGGTCGGCCTCGGCGAGTCGCTCCTCCAAGGTAGAAATGTAGTCCTCGCAAGAGGCTTCGTTCTCTCTGATCCGCGAGATCTCCTTGCGAAGTTCCACAATAATCGTCGTGTTCTTTTCCTCCCCAGAGGTGTGGCCGTCCAGCTTGTTCTCCAGGTCGTGGAGGTAATTTTCCGTACTCGCTTCCCGATCCATGAGTTTTTGCAAACGCGCCTGTAGCTGTGTGTTGATGGTCTCAATGTACGTGCACTTGGTCTCTTTTTCTAGCAGATTTGCCTCGGTATTGGCGAGTGTGCCGCGCGTGCTGGATAGCGATTGCTCCAGAGTTTGAATGGTCTTCTCGTACTCGAGCACGACTTGCTCGACTGCAGCAGCGAATGAGTTTGATCGATTCAGTCTCTCTGTAGCCGTGTCACCCATGGACTCCTCGTGTTGATTGTTCTCGGCAGCTTCGTTGTCGCGGGCCTTAGCCATCTCAGCAATAAGCTTCGCGTGACGTTGACTCAGGGTCGTGTAGTTTTCTTGGACGTCCAGAAGCTGATTTTGCAGTTCGCTTTCACGCTCATTTTGTCGCTCAGACCGCTCGCCCGTGGAGGCGATGCGCCTCTCGCCCCCGCCTCGCTCCGCGCTGCGGACTTGCTCGCGCAGGAAGGCAACCTCCGCCTTCAGACGATCAATGATGGCCTGTTTGTCACCCTCCTCCACCTGCTGAATCCGTGGCTTACTTTGGATGGCTCGGGCCCTCTGTGCATATTGGACGGTGTTTAATGTTTCGCTGAGATGGAACTCGGCAGGCGTCACGCAGGCAATCATGTACGTGATGGCATTTCCACCGAGCGAGTCTTGGAGTAGACGGGTGAGTTTGGAGTCGCGATAAGAGACGTGTGACCCGGCCTGTCGTGATGAGAGCTGTGAAATGACCTTTCCGAGCGCAGCCAGGCCAGCGTTGATAGAAATACCTTCCTTGGCACGCTCGCCCTGTGCGCCAGTGTTCTTCAGCCGCTCACTACCTGCCAGATCGACAAAATGGAGCTTGCTGTCTGTGGTAACCCAGGTCTCGGATCCCGTCATAGCTTCGATGGGCACGGAGAAACGCTTTTCGGCCCCATTTGAGCCCTGCAGGCCGCTCTTCCGCTGCACCAAGTTGAGACTGAACACGGCGTGGGACCGGGAAGACCTGGCGTTAATGGCCGTCGCATCTGTCTGTCGGAGGGTTGAGCCGAAATTCAATGCATTCATGAGGTCCTCCACTGAGTTAATTTCAACCTGTCGCAGGCCGGTAAGGATAATGTTCCCCTTGACATCTTCGCGGATTGTGACGTTGCCACGCTCGTGTTGTGGAACGTGGTCAGGAAGAAGCAGATCGCGCAGTTGCTCGTTGTAGATTTCGAGGTATGTTGCTTTCAAAGACCATGTCCTGTCCGCTGCTGAGGTCGATGTTGGTTGGGCGGAGTATCTGTGTGGTGCTCTCAGCTGAGACATGGAGCCACGATTCGCTTGCTTCTTCGGGCCGTCGAGCTTTTCGAACAAAGCCGTCGCCGCTCGGGGGATAACGCCTAAGAACAAGGTCAGCTTGGGGGTTTGTAGAAGCCGGAGAGCTTCGCAGATAACCGAGTAGCACGGTAACACGACGCAGTGTAACTAACCCATCACCTCGAGGTCGTCCTGATCGATAGGACCTGATGTACCCATCGTGTACGACTTTCCCGCGCCAGACTGGCCATACGCCAACAGCGACACATTGTAGCCCTGGATGAAAGCGCCGACGCAATCCTGCAAGTAGTCCCAAATGCCTTCTTGTTCAACGTCGGAGCCAAAAACGCGATCAAATACGAAGAGTTTCCTTCCTTGTGGTGAGTCGATTGCCAAGCTCGTGTTCGATGTCACCTGAGCCATGGATCTTTGAAATCGTTGAGGAATTAATTCGTAGCCTGGATCTGTGGGTTTCAGAGGCGGTCGAACACGCACGGCTACGTAGAAAGGGAACGAGGTTAGTGGTGTGATGATACGCCGGCATGAAAGGGGAGGTGCCGCGCAATGTTCAGACAAGTGACGAACAGCACCGGAGATGGGAACTGGCACACTTACCGACTTTGACGGCCGTCCGGGAGTCTTCGTCGGAGGCTTTGCTGCCACCGCCATGTTTGCTCGTCATGCTCAGACGGCTGTTGCTCCGTGGTGATGGTCGCACCATTGCGCTCAGCGGTCTTTGGGGCAGATGATTCCCAGGGGAGGCCGGCGGTGAGCTGGCCATGATGGGAAAGCGAAAGAGAGGAAGGGGTTTCTCGGATCGGGTGCGCGAGCGGAATGCGTTCCTCCTTGTATAAGGTTAATCGCGCGCAAGGCAAACGGTAGAACGAACGGGGTGTCGGGATTGTGCAGTCCTGATCCCCAGGCTCGAACCCTGTATGCGGAGGGTATGAAGCACTGTTCGGTATCTGGTGCAGTTGTGCCGTTGTCTCAAAAGTGTGATCGAATCGACGGGTGACGGATTGCGCGAGCGTGTGGAGGGTCCTATCTGTCCGTAGAGGGGAAGAGAAGCTGTTTCCGGTGCACTACTTCTTATGCTATCGTGGGGCGGCGGATTGTGTATTTTGTGTTGGCTGTGAAGGAGTGATGGAAGGCTACTCTTTTTTTTTTCGGATTCACCACAAAAGCGGCAGCGCAGCAACAGCAGCTCGGTGGAAGTGAAAGAACAAAGGCGTCATATGGTACCGAGTATCGTGTCGAAATGTCGAGGAAGCCAAATGAAAACAAGCAACAGCAAGGACGGGTCGCCTATGGCTCTCTGGGAGCCCGTCGTCGTGTTGCGTTGCGGGAGCAATGCGTTGTCTGGCGTTGCTTGGGACGCGCGCGAGATTGTTGGAGATATTCGTAGGAAAGGGTAGCCCGGGATGTTGGAGTGTTTTGTTGCGGGTTCTGCTGGCCGAGCAGTGTGGAGGGGGCATGCGTGGACAAGCTACTCAGGTAGACGGCGAATTGGGATTGGGGGTTCGCAACGCTGCGGTGGACTGCTCTTCTGTGCCGAGTCCGCCTCCTTGTGGCAGACACCTCACAATGGGCTGGGCCGGACTGGGACCTGGGAATGGTTAGACTGGCGAGGGCCAGGGGTGGGAGAGTAAGGTACCTAGAGGAGAGGTCGAGAGAAGGAACAGGGGAACCCAACCGTCAGTCGTGTTTATTCTCCAGAGGCGAAAGAAGTGTCGACAGAGTCGAAGAGGTGGCACTGTGGTAGGTACTCCGTACCCAGGTTGGCAGCAGAAAGTAGAACGCAGCAGACAGGCCGGGGGTGTGGTGTGGATGTCTCGCAAATTAGGAGCGCGTCGATGGTGGGCTGTGATTGGGTGGCGCGAGATGTGACGGATGCGCCCGTTCTCACAGTCGAATGTCTCCTGGGCCGATTCGGGAATGGCAGCAGAAGGGCTCAAGGGGGGCCGACTTGGGGACTCCTGTCTGTTGCTGCTTCTGGACTGAATCAGGTCGAGTGCGAAATAATCCCCGGCGGATCGTCGTGACAGGTATGGACCGCTTCTGAGTCGCGATATCCGACCAGATGACTGCCTGCCAGGTGGGTTGTGGGGGGAAAAGCATGTATGTAGTCGGAGAGGAGGAGGACTGCAGGAGAATGGTGAGGGGGAAAGAGCAAAAATGGCGAAAGATGAATACCTTAGTCCACGGGTCAAAGAAGGAAGGGAGGCGGTAGACAGGAAGAAGTTATTCGTACCTGTAATCACGGGTGGAATGAAGGAAAAGAGGAAAGAACGAAACGGCTGAGTGATTGACGTTCCTTCTTGCCAATTGTACTCCGTTAAGTACTTTGGACGTGCCAGGAGCACCTCGCGGAATGGGAGGTTTTGGCACGGAAAGAGCAATAAATGGGAGCATTGAGTGGCAGGAGGAGAGGCACAAACAATGAGTTCCTCCTCTACTTCCCCCAAACTCGTCACCTCGCATTGCCATTAAACAATGACAAGTTACCTAATTACCTAGTACCTCGTATCATGAATAGAAGAATAAATAAGACTCGGCAAAGGACGTTGAAATTCTCTAGACCGCTCGTCCCAGTCCCAGTCTATGCCGGTCTTATTGCTGTCGACCTTAGCTTAAGTGCTTAATTATCGAGAAGCCATCACTATTGGCAAGACCTATCTCCAGCTGCAATATCCAGAGAGACAACGGCAGAGAGTCCGGTCCTGACTCTAGCGATACAAAACCAGGGTCCAGGACAGGGGATTGGATGGATCATGGAATGGGCAGGATAAGATGGGATGGTCCATCCACTGATGAGAGAGGGCCGTGTTATCCCGGGCTTCCCTTTTTCTTGACTGCATTCCGTAGCAGAGCTTTGATCCAGTCGTGCCAGTGTACGGCTGCTGGCCCCTTCTTTCTTCTTTCCGCTTGTGAGAGCTAGAGGCCACCGACGTCGACGACTGCAAGCCCGGTCTTGATGCCAATTATTGTGTAAATGATGTGGAATGCCGTTTATTCGCTACCTTGTCTCGATAGCTTCAAAAACCACCACCATTTTCCATCCAACGAAAAGCGATGCACAGCGAAAGGAAAGAAAGTGCAGAAGGGGAAGGAAGCGAAAGGTGGGGCAGCGACCGAGCGGAAGTGGCCAAGCCACTTAGACCCGACATTCAGACCAGGGGTGGGCCGGGGGGATGCCAAGCGGGGCACCTAAGAAAGACGCCTTGCCTGATCAGGCCTTAGTCATCTCAGACCCCAGTTATCTTCGTTTGTGGTCTGTTAAGAAACGAGCAGGAGGGACGTGGAGGGCTGCTTGGTCTGCTGCACAAGACGGGAGGCAAGAGCGCGACTGCCAATCGACAACGAAGCACCAAATCGACCGGTCCAGGGCGGGCAGCAATGCAGGAAGGCACCACGCGAGACTGGATCGTGGAGGCAGGAACCAACTTCAAATCGCCCACCTGCCTGCAAGGCACAAGGTACCTATTCCGTTCCGCAGCAGACTTAAGGTAGGTACGGAGCACTTAAGACACAACCATTCCGGAAAGTGAGGCAGACCTAGGCACTCCGCACCTTCCACTACCTACTGCGTATGTGCCTGAATACCTACTCAGTACTCCGTAGGTAAGGTAAAGAGTGCCTGTAGGTACGCCCCCACACATCTTGAAGGAAGGTACCTTAAATGGCACTCCTCAAAGGCACGGGATAAGGTATCCGTACATGAACCGTGTGGCCTCCACACCTGACGCAGGGACCAGCGCCTCTCAAAGAGACAGAGAAAAAAAAAACCAGTGGAAAAAAACACCCGATTTCTAAGACGCTCAATGTGACATTGACACGGCACCTCCTCCACCCACCCAGTCACCAGTGGATTGATTGTGTGTTCGGCCCCCTTCGACCACAACCGTTGCAGCGACAACTACGGATCGCTGCTCTGCGAAGAAAAAAACAAGCAATAACTTGAGTGAAACAACAGAGCAACACTGTCCACCCTTGTGCCGGTACTTCGGGTCGCCTCGTTCTCTTTTTGGAACCCTTATCCGGAAACCTCTTCGGATCCTCCACGTCCCATGCCCTCGGTATCCGTATCCGCAAAGACATGGAGATTTTCTGACTTGTCCGAGGAACAGGATCGGCTAGAGAACACTTCAGTCTGAGATGTCGTGACAAGAGACCTCCGGTGCCATGGTTCTTGTTTCTCGCAAAGATTGCTCTGCAGAGGTCAAATCTGAACCCCCAAAAGATAGGCCCAAGGCGACGACGGGTCATCCGTGGGGGGAGGTTTCCATCAACCATGGATCTTTCGCCCCGTCCGCCTGCAGTTGATTGCGAACAATCGAAAGATTTCTGCACCAACAAGAAGCGCATTGCTTTTTCTTCTGCGCCATCTAGCCGGCATCCACGGTTCACGCGAACCCAGACCACAGCACACGCGCAAGTGCCTCTTCAAACCTGAGGATTGGCTGATTCAAGAGACTTGGAAGACGCTTGCTTGCCCTAGCGGCCCTTCCGCACGACACACAACGGCCACTACGGTGCACGATCCCGGGAAAAGCCCTCTCACTTTGGACGTCTTCTCACCAGTACCAACCGGACACATATCGCACACCCAATGGGAACGCATCCAGGTCATGGCCCGAGAGGCCGGCAGAAAATATACTTCCGACCGAGGCCTGCCAGTCCCGCCGGTTTCTGATACGTGACAGCTCTGCACCAGTCCATCCGCTTTCCGTCCTTGTTTAACACTGCTCCCTCTTCCGCAAAGGCAGATCAACAAGAGAAGTCGGCGCAAAACGGAGCCCTGTTTGCGTTTTCGTACCCTAGGGGACGCAATGAACAGCCGCTATAGTGCAGATGAGCTAACTAGACATGTTCACGATCGAGACCGCGGGCGTGAAGATCAAAAACACTACGAGGCATCAAGGCCATCCAATGCCTCTATAGCAAGGCTCGGGTCGAAAATCGGAACCTTCTTTTGCTTCACGCTCACTAGGAATGGACGCCATGGAGCGGGCTTTGAGCCTCTAGGTCAACGTCCCGAGCCAGCCGGTACGAGGTCTCAGTCTTACTAGTACATTACTGGTACTTCACGTCGCCTCATACGATTGGATCTCTGGCCCTCCGCACCATGACGTTTGTGAATCATTACGCGTTCAGCAACAGTTCCACGATGTACGAAGATGACCCTCTAGACTCTGGAGCCCTCAGACGTTTGTGAGGGCACCTGCAAATCCTCGAGATGAACAGGCCGAATCCGACCAAATCACCTCCCGTCTCTAGGCATTGATCGTCCGTCCCGCCAATCCCACCCCAAACCTTATGCGTCGTACCAACGCGCCGTCTCAGCCTACCGACATCGTCGTCCTGTCTTCCCCTGCTGCGGAGCGGAGCGACACTGACATCGCAAGGCCACCAGGCCCTTTCGAAAAGCTGGCAAACGTGCATACAATCATTCCAACCCCTCCATAGCGCGACTTGCAGCCATCCAGAACTCAAAACCCATTCGCAATCGACCGTGCGCTCACAGAGTTTTCTTGGATTTCTCCGGGGTCAAACGCAAGAAATAGGGGTTTCGCTCGTTCGCCGATCCCATCATCCCATGTCGCCTGGACGGGAAGGCGGGCGAGCAACAGGCCGTTTCTTCTCTACAGAAATGTCTCGAATTGCAGATTCGATTCCGATATGAAGGGCAGTCCACTAGTTGCTGGCAGCTCCTGGAAATTGGGCTACCCATCACTACTCTGGCCGTGAAACCCAATAACTCTTCTGCCCATGCCTCGCGCTGCATGTCACAGCCCTTTTCAGACTGATGCGATCCAAAATTCGATGTCAAATGGGTTCTAGAACACATGTGCTCCAACGTCTCGCATCTCGACATGCTCCTCATCGGTTCGTGTGACTTCCGCGCAGACGATCCCCGCAGGTCAATAGGCTTCGTCCCTGAACCCTGCGATACTCATGTTTGATTATCGCAGCGAACCCGCGTGCGCAGCGCTTATACCAGCGTTCATCCCTATCTTGGGGTATATAGTGCATATTCTCTTATCGCCATTCAAAACCTTTGGCATCGCGGAAGCGTTGCAATTCAATCCCGCCCCCCAATCGCTGTCTCGGCATTTACAAATCGCAAAAGCATATCTCCTTTCATCAAAGCCAAGTTTCCTCGATCGCATAAGTCGATGACATTCTGAAAACTTCCCCGGGGCACTCGAGGCAAGACTAAGGTGATAATCAGATCGGCTTGCCAAATATTCTGTGAGACATTGTACTTGCATGTACCCCGTTCTCAGGACCCTTTTCTCGAGCACAAGCCATCTCATCCGCCCGCTCATCCACTTGTTGCGAGGGTGGCGATGCTCACGAACTGGCGTGCCCATTTCTTAGCTATATGTTCGCGCACAACAAACAGGGTTCAGGGTGGCTTGCGGCAAGTTTCTCCTCAATCTATCAGGCCCCGCCGATTTCGACTCTATCTGCAAACCTGCAGTTTGCTGAGATCGTGTTTCACCATGCGCCGCCCACGTCGTTAGCGTTGCCGTTCCCAAGTTGACGCCTCCGTGTCATTTCTGCTTTTCCCGGTTCATTACCGCACGCCTCCCCGGGCCGTGGAGCCACCGTTCGCAGAGCAGTGACGACTGCCCGTCGCCCATCCCGTTGATAATTTGGGCGCTGCAGCTGCTGTATACCGCATGGCATGCAGTGACGGACGGCTTTCTCGGGCTGTACGTATCTACAAAAGCGTTCTCTATCGAGCGGGCTTGTACAGGCATTAAGGCGGTTTGAATTCATTCTAGGTCTTCCCGATGGAACGCCCTCTCGGCTGCCGGCTTATGTTGTTGCCGTCGAGGTTGGTTGCCAAGGCCGGCAGTACGGCGGTACCATGACGGCACGTCGACGGTGGTCGTGGAACAGTAGCATCTGCAGCTTGCAGTGGTACCAGGCCGGTTCTTACACATAAGCGAAGAAGCTAGCTAACGCCTTGCTCATCGTCTTATTCCAACAGCAGATGTGTCTGCCGCCAAAAGTCAGAGTCGTCTTTTGTGATGCCGTGATGTCTTGCCCTTGATGGTGAAGATGCTGCTGTCCTGGCATGTATTCTGGAGAATGTGCTAGACCTGATGATAGATGTAGTTCCAACGACACTCTGCTTACGGCTCCTGGTATTGGAGTGTCTCCTCGTTGTGACGGTACATCTTATCTGCGCAACAATACTTTCGAATGGGTCGACGTGTCATCACGTTTGAACATGTCTTGAAGGCTCCTTGAATGATTTCTCTATGATACCTGCTTGAGAATTGTGTATCAACGGTAATGAGTATCGAAATCACCTTTCTGCGACTCACATCACATTCAAGGTGACACGCTATCGTGATCGAGGCCCAAATCCATCAACGAGTCGACCGTCCAATTCATGG